GATGAGCATGAATCCATTCCCAAAGATGGTTACAAGGTTCATCATCATCATCATCATCATCATCATCATCATCATCATCATCATCATCATCATCATCATCTATTTAAATATGTTGGCCACCCAACTTCAATGCACTTTAAACCCACAACAAGGAAGAGTTCATGGAGCTTGTAGAGAAGGGGCATACCCACCAAAATAAATTCAGTCACAGCTGATGTATTCATCACTTCAGATGCTCTCTGGATATTGTTTATCTGTGCTTAGTGCAACTCTTTTCCCCCAAAGTCCTTCATGAAAGGTCGTAAAAAAACAACAACAATCCAACTTTGGAAGAGTGAAATAAATTGAAACCTTTCTTAGTGAATTTCTTTAGTATTAACCTTCCTTCTATCAGTACTGCAAGTGAAAATATGGAATTTACATATGATGTGCCTGACTGACACTTGCCAGAAAAGGGAAGATGACAAAACCAAGGCAAAAATTGAATCTTATTTATTTAATCCAATAAGTTAAGATGACATGATTGCTTCCACTATACTTTATAATTCCTCCCGTCATCAAGTTCAAAATTACACTTCAGCAACAACCTTTTGGAATCTCTGGTTCTAGTATAACCCTTGATGCCGCAAAGCATGGCATTGATAAAACTGTTGTATTGCCTCAGTTTGCCCCTTTAGGGTCCCCCTCTTTTTAAGGACTGCTGTCAAGAAAAAAGACAAGCGTGTCAAAGTCATAATACAGTTTGATCTGAGCTTTGCTGATTGGTCTTGATATTTTTGTTGTCTTATAAATGTGTTTGGATTGAATGATTTTTTTCCCTTTTAATTTATTTCATTTAGCTTTTGAGTGCCACTCAAAAGAGAGGTTGGCTATCAATTCCAGTAAATGCAGAAACACACCCACTTGCCTTTAATTTTTTTCTAAAAAATCAACTTCCCACTCTAGATTATGAGTGTAAGCAAAAGAATCCCAACAAATGCTGTTAACGTGCACAGGGATTGGAAACCTTGTACATCTGTGTTGTAAAGTATATAGCCAAACGGTCTTTTTAAATCTGAAACTGCCAATTGAATTCTGATTTCATCTACCCACTCAAAATATCCTCCATGCCTTAATGCTCTAAATTTCACCTCATTGATACTACATAGGAGAGATTTGGAAGTATGTTTCCCCTCACTCTCTCAGTTTAGGATCCCTTTCCTTTTATGGATTATATTCTGGACAGCCTTTTTGACCTCAGCATTCCGGATTGTGTATATGAAAGGATTCA